AGCGCTGAATGCCTAGTGTCATTATCAGCCCTATTGAAAGAAATGATATCATGTTATGGGATCCATTTAGAATCTTGGCCGCTCTTTTACAAGCCGAAAAAAGTGTTTCTCGGTCATCAAGGATCAGTAAGTTCGATGACGGGTCATTAACGTAACGTTTTTGATTACTTCTTGTTTCCGTATCGTTGTAAAGTCGTGCGGCGAAAGTGGTCGTGTCGCACTATCGATTCATGGCGACGATCATTACTTCATATTTCATCCATCCATTCATCATCTTATATATTTTTGTACCTTCAACTATTGTCTTCATCATTTTCTCATTTGATGATGATAATTTTTGCATCTTTAGTATTCCAGTTTTGGAGTCATTAACTTAATGCTGAGTCAAATCGATTCGTGTTAATCATTGATTGTTTGGAAAGACTTCACCTGTTTAGTACTACGGTCAACAAATCTAATCGCTATCTGTTAAGACTGTGTGATTAGTAGAATTGACTGAAAATAGTTCTGAAGCAAAAAAGTGCCGATGGAGGTTCCCTATTTTGCAGAAAGATTTCTAGATTTTCTTTTTTTGGTAAGACCGGTATATTACCGTATCGCTTGCACGACGCAGTTAAATCAGATTCGAAATCAGAGCTATGTGGTGCATCTGGAGAGCATGCACTGTTCCGCTAGAGAAGAAAAATTGTCAAGTAGCCTAAATGGACACCACTAAAGTCTCAATTCGTTCTTGTTGCTGCGGATCAGATCTGCTAAATGGTTCTCTAGTCTCTCTGGACTAGAAATATTCTCACTTTTGACATTACGCACTTGGCTTTTAGTGTTTTTGACGACAGAGCAACCATAATTCACCCCTGAATCCCTCCGTGACATATGTTTATTCTTAACTGGATTTCCTATTTTATATGTGGAGCTGGCCAGTTCAGGTGACACTGGTGTGTAGGCAGAGACTAAGGGGTCAAGTTGAACCCATTGGTGTTCAACAGCCAAAAATATGCCACGTCCAGGGTAAATCGTGGATTACTTTTTCTCTTTAATGGTTAGGTGACTCGTGTTTACCATGTAGTGCGAGTTATAGCGTTTCTTCTATTCGTTTCATTGCATTCAATCTATCGAGCTTTCGGTTTATGGTGTGAATTCGGCTGTAACCTTCATTTTACAGAGGATTTAGAAGAAGAGGAAGCTGCAGTCCTTAGCTAAATCCCTTAAGGTTTTGCCGCCTTTTCTTGTTGGTTCCATTCCTTCATAAGAGTCTCCCAAACTGAAAAGGAGTCCGACTTTTCAATCCGGATTCTCAGCCAGGGCTAAACCTGTGCCAGGTTAGGAATCACCGCCATTCCTGCGACAATGAACTCGATTATCAGAAGGAAGTGACTATATGGGAAAGCCTTTCGGTAATAGCATGGCTTTCGAGATTTCAGAGAGGGAAAGCATGGCCAGCTAGTGAATTAGTACTCAAATGGAAACGCTGATAGGTCGTTCACGATTCTTTGTGATCTATGATGAACGTTGAAGTATGTGAACTACACCAGGGAAGTGAAATATTCTAGTTAGAATCTTGAATAACTGGGTTAGTTTATTGAAATTAAGTATTGTACTTAGTAACCTGAACATATTATATTATTCCTGCCAAATTTTTGTCAGAACAGATCAATTCTACTTTTCTTTCTCTCAGCTGCCGGGACGTTAAGAACGTTCGACGTTCATCGGTCCTACAGTACTACCTATTATTTGAATTCAGGATCTGTGCTATTTTCTTCTCTTCTACTTTATTGAAAAATTTGCATCAGCAGTGTACTTTCTAATTTTCTATGGTACGATGTCTTGGAAACGAATTCGCCATTGTTCTTAAATAGTTTTGTTTTTACAATCTCGTAACATGTTTATCGATAACTCTGCACGCCAGTGATTAATGTCCTTATCAAAGAAAAGCGCTGCATGACTCAGATTTTTCGTCGTAAATATTTTTTCCTGAAAGTAATCTCTTGGAAGAATCCGTGATAAATTCTCTAGCCTAATATGTACTCTCTTAGATCAATCGATCAATCGATACTGATGCTCGTGGATTAGTTGAAATTCATGACATCTTCGCGAATTGAAAGAAAAACATGTTTCGGTGGACGATGCGAGAAAGACAACGACGCTTCACTGATGCCAGGTGATAAGCCGTCCTTCTTGGCGAACAATCGATAAAAGGATAATGCGCTCCTATCACTTATCCATCATGGAACGTTACCGTTTTGCTTAATCGAAACAGTAGAAAGGTAATTTTTTTCGTAGTTCTACGTTGGTATTGGTAGGTAGCTAGGATTGCTTACCTACATTCTCAAATAGCTGTCCTCACTACGCCTATCAGTCGTCCCGTTATCTCTTCAGTGTCGTCCATTCAGATGAACGAGTCCGTGAGCTGGTTCAGCGTTGGCTTGAATGTCTGTCGTCTCTTTTCCTTGTTTTTGTGGTAGATACTGATCGAGAACGATTTTCTATGAAATCTCGAGGCAGCTCTGCTAGAGTACTACCAGATATTCGTCACTACCAATCACCTTCGTGAATTTGACGGAGGCACGCAGCCTCGTCACTACTTCCAAGACGGCAACAGTTCCTATGGCCGGCTAACCGACCGGGTGGAGGATGATTTCGAAAGCCAAGTCGATAGTTCAGAATCAGCTTTCTCTTTCTATCCCATTATTTTCGCAGTGGGAAATATATCTCAATGTAAAATCTCATTGAGAATCATCTTTTTCTTCACATCTTTTCTTTTGCTGTCTAGCTGTTCCCATGCAAAAAAACCTTGTAAATCAGGATTTTCCTGATGAATCTCAGAATTTGAGAATATTCCGATGTTTTCCATTTGCTTAGTAGGTTTTTTCTTTTTATAAATGATTTCTTTGGCTTAAATAAATATCTTTTATTCACTTGTCCAAGCTCTTTCACCTCTTTCCTCTCTCTTCCTTCTCCACAAATCTCAATGAGAATCATTTTTTCCTCTTCGACTTTTTCATAACTCTCTAGCTTTTTCGTTCATCAAAAATGAAAGAAACTTTATATCGTGAAAATTTCGTAATCATTACAAAAAAGATTTATAAATTATTTGTTCCGGAAATCTTATCTGCCTTGAGGATTTTTTCTCTAGCTTTCTCCTACTTTTTAACAGCTAGTCGCAACAAAATGTTAACTTTTTATGTACTGCTTACTATTACTTTTTTCACTACAGGATTCTGTATGAAATACAGCCAATATGATGCTGGAATATCTTGCAAAACCTGGATCCAAAGCCAGATCGAACCTCGATTACCCTTTCTGGATGCTCATGTGTTACGCACCGAACCACCGAGGCCCTTGCTTTGCCTTTTTCTTAGCCAGCTTTCTACTAAACGGTGCCGTTAGGCGTCAGCCGTTAACGGCAATGATTTAGGGAGCAGAAATCGGCATTGAGCCCAGTTAAGCTGAGGCTGTAGTCACCGTTAGGTAGAAAATTTGTTGATAAAGAGGCAAAGCAAGAGCTTCAATGGTGCTGTGCGTAACACTTTAGCTCTGGGAAAGGGTAGTCACGGTTCGATCTAGCCTGGGGTCCAAGTTTTGCAAATATCTCGGCATCATTGTAGTTGTAATGGCAGCATAATTTACGGTTGAAAAAGGAGAAGTCTGTTGTTCGGGGATTCGTGTTGCCACTTAGTCTTCGATCGGTCGCTCCTCTACTCGCGCAGGCGCCACTGGAATCCGCTTGCCGCCTGGAAGAATCCTAGTCGCAATCAGACAAACATCCGTTTCACAACGTCCGTTGATGCCTGTGGTGAAGACATGGCGGCAGCCTATAAGTGCCTTCTTGAAATTTAAGCAAATATTAAGCTTAACTTGTGCTCAATATTTCAACGAAGGTAGATGACAATCCCTCCTAACGGTTTACCGCCTCGTGGCTGGGAGGTGTTCCTGGGTGTCGGACTGCGATGGAGCGGGGGATTCATCCTCTCGGCAGGGTCTCCCAAGCTGAGAAGTCCAGCATTTCCATCAGGAAGCCTAGCTAAGAGTAAGCCAATACCAGGATCCACCACCGTCCTAGTATCAAAGTCGCACGGTGGCAAATCTCCCTCTGATCCATAAAGACTGCGACTGTCCGTGGTGGTGAAGACCTGGGGCTGAATTTGGCTAGGCTAACCTCGGGATTCCAGGGAGCCACAATGGCTTAGCCAGCAATCTAAGTGGTGATTATGCTGGAGGCCGCAAAACCAGCGAGGACGGGCCGTTCAAGTGTCAAGTGTCAGGATGACGATCGGTCTTCAACTGCATTTAAACTCACACATCAATCAAACCTCTAATGGATAAGCATTGCAGAATAACGCAGCAGGTGGAAGAATTTCTGGGGTCCACCAAAAAAAAAATAGACTAGCCATCTAGATATCTAACGTCATAGTTTATGAGCGTTTATGCCATTAACGGCGTAGTATCGTCAAAAAATCTCCCTTTATGTTAACTTTCTTATTTACTGCCTATTACAGTTTTTCACGGCGGAGTGTTATATGTGATACAACCAGAATGATGCTGAGATATTTGCAAAACTCTGGATTGCAGGTGTCTGCGGTGAGGAACGAACGCGCTATAACCCTTTCCGAGGGATAACGCGTTCACCACCACATCATGCGGGTCCTTTATTCTTCCTTTTCAATCTTCATTATTTCCCAAGTTCTTTCCTACATTCTTTGTTCTCATAAATTTTTGTGCTATTTACAGTTTTTACGGTCATCGAATCCCACTGGTTACTACATTCTTCGTTATGCTACGATTCAATCCGCAGCACTTTTTGTGTTTCAGTTTTCGAAATCTGGCATCAATGTGTCCCTGTCTAGTATAAATATCGGAGAATGAATTACATCACATTCTTAGTATATTGATTGCAGAGCACTTGCCATTTATGTGAAGATTTTCTCAGTTTAATTTCACATTACTCCTACTAATTTATCATTCCTGTTGTTTTCCTTCCCCTTCTGTCGTGGTGAGTGAGGATGATTGAGGAGATCTGTCACATCTGTGACGATCGTGCTACAGGAAAACACTACGGTGCAGTCAGTTGCGATGGATGTAAAGGTGATTAAAGAGAAAGATTTTGTTAGTCGTCTTGATGAAAACTTCGAAGGAAGTAATTTACGTTCAGGTTTCTTTCGTCGAAGCATTCGTAAGCGTCACAACTATGTGTGTCGATTTAAAAAAAACTGTGATATAACGAAAAGTGAGTTCCTTTAGGCAATACAAATATTTGAGTCGATCACGTTAAAAATAGTCTTGGACGAGTCTGCACAGTAATATATATATATATATATATACATATATATATATACATATATATATATATATATATATATATATATATACTCCCAACGGTTTACTGCCTCATCGTGGCTGGGAGGTGTTCCTAGGTGTCGCATTGTGATGTACAGCGGGTATTCATCCCCTAGCAGGGTCTCCCAGGCTGAGAATGTGTCCGGCGTTTCCATCACGAAGTCTTGCTAAGAGTAAACCAATACCAGGATCCACCACTGTCCTGGTATCAAAGTCGCATGGTGGTAAAGCTCCCTCTGATCCATAAGGGCTGCGACTGCCCGTGGTGGTGAAGACCTGGGGCAGACTTTGGCTGACCTCGGGACTCCAGAGAACCATAATGACTTAACCACCAAATCTCCGAAAAATGGAGATTATGCTGGGCTCCGCGCAACCAGTGAGGACGGGCCATTCAAGTATCAAGTAAGTAGATGTGCATAGATGTATGTATGTATGTATGTGTGTCTGTATGTATATATATATCTTCATATCCTCGCAACGGTTTACCGCCTCATCGTGTCTGGGAGGTGCTCCTGGATTTCAAACCACGAGGTACAGCGAGGAGATTCATTCCTCGCCAGAATCTCCCAAGCTGAGAAGTCTTGCTTTTCCATCAGGAAGCCTAGCGAGGAGTAAACCAATACCGGGATCCACCGCCGTCCCGGAATCAAACTAGTCGCGTGGTGACAAATCTCCTCCGATCCACAACGGCTGCGACTGTCTATGGTGGTGACCTGGGGCAGACTTTGGCCTGGCTTACCTTGGCACTCCAGGGAACCACAATAGCTAGAACAGAAGGATTCCGAGAAAATGGAGATTGTGTTGGTGTCCGCACAACCAGTGAAGACGTGTGTACTATTCAGATACAAGAACTGATGTTTCGGCGGATTTAATCTTTTTCAGAGCTTGGAAATGTCAAGTTGACTGCAATCTACCCATCCAAACGCCTCCATAACCACAACAGAAGGTCCACAAAATCTGGATTTCAATCGCATTAAAAATAAAATAGCCTGCTCACACACTCGCAGCTTCCTACGTGTCTTTCGCTGTGGATTTCACGTGGATACCAACCGCGTAGAGTTCACATGGAAGCGTAATGTGTCTCTATCACATTAAAATATCAGTGCTATGTGCTGTGTGGGATCACGCGTGATAACGACGCATTCCTCTCTGTGGTTCGTTTTCGGTTACTGGATGAATTCTAGGAATCCAAAAGTGGACCACAAGGGGAATGCCTTGTTCTCACACGTGATCTCACACAGCATGTAGGGCTGATATTTCAATGTGAGAGAGACACATTACGCTTCCATGTGAAATCTGTGCGGTTGGTATCCACGTGAAATCCACAGTGAAGGACTCACAGAAAGCGGCAAGCGTGTGAACAAGCTATTCTTTTTAATGCGATTGGAGTCCTCGTTTAGTATTTTCTCTGTTTTGGTTATGGAGATGTTGGGATGGTCAGATTGCAGTCAACTTGACTTTTCCAAGTTCTGAGGAAGGTGAAATTCGTGGAAGCCTCGGCTGTTGTAAATATATAATGTGTAACAACTCGGGGCGGATAGCACAGTGCTAGTGATGTCCGTTATCACGAGCATAGTTCTAGTTCGATTCCACTCCGGGCTAACCAAGTCTCTCATTCCTCCGAGGTCGTGAAATTGGTACTGACCTTGGTAAAAAACCTCTCTTTTCAATACAGTTGGGAACGCTCCAGCTCGGCTATCCCAGCACTCCAGGGAGAATTGCTCGACCAGCATTCTACGACATTCAAAGTGAATTTTAAAATCCTCAAGCAGCAACCGAAGCCACACGTAAGAACTTGGAAAACCTTCGTGGACGATGAATGCGAGGAAACGAATTGGATGTGAGAAGTGCTGGGATCCGCACAGTAGACATGAAGGAGGATCAAATAAAATGAAATAAAAATAATAAAAGTAATAACAACTCATGTGTGCTAATCAAGAAAGCAGCGAGCTATTCATCGATGGTGATGGCAGTAGAATTCCGCCTTGGGAATAGCTTAATTACTCACTTAATTGGTTTAATAGTAATAGAGAACAACCTTGATTTGTGAAAAGGAACAATGGCGCCGTACCAGACCCCTGTGATTTGCGCTTTGGTTGTGAACAATTGAAAATCTTTGCATGGTTGTTCATAAACTGTGTTTGTATGTTAAGTAGAAATCCATCAGGTGCTTTAAGCTTGCACATAATTATAGCAATTGATTTCGCACAACTGCCACAAATGGTTATGATGTTTTGTGCCTAAACGTTTACTTCAAAGGTTAGGATGAAGCGTTCGGTATATGTCAATCCCTTAAGAACATGCCGATTCATTAGACTCCATTAGGTGAATAAATGAATTTTTGGCTTAGTTGAAGCTTATCGATGAAAGAAGTCAGTATTCATCACTCCACGCAAACAGTTATCGTTTCAACCGCAAGGGTGCTGAGATATTAGCAAACTCGGATCCTAATGTGCGTTTCGAACTCGCAATACGCTTACCGAGGGCTCGGCTGCTATTCGCCACTCCAAGCGATCCAACTACCTTTATCTCAGTCATATTTTTACTCCATCAATGGTATCATCAATCACCTATTAACTGGAATTAGTTCAGTACTAGTTTTACCGACCACGTATGAGTGGCGGACTTAGTTTAATACAGTGCATGTTTCGAGCCAGTGACAATATGTGTATCACGGGCACCTCTTATTATTTCGTTACAGCTGTCCCAAGCTTACTCATAGGCAGGATTTCGTTAAGTAGTTTTCTATAGTTATTCAAAGTCTAATTAAATGATGTTTTCTGTTCTTATTTTTCAGACCAACGTAATGCCTGTCGATCTTGTCGACTCCAAAAATGTATCGATGCAGGAATGAAGTCGAATGGTACTAATTCGTAGCCTTTCTGTTTCTTTAGTTCGTTTGTTCACTTGTTTAATCGGTCCCTCTGGGTTTATTCGTTAATTATAACTATTTGGAATACTTTAATAATACTGTGATATTTGCAAAACTCCGGACCGAAGGTGTATGCGGTTGGGAACGAACGCGCTATTGTCCTTTCCGGGGAGTAACGCGTTCACCACCACACCATGCTGGTCCTTCGTTTCGCCTGTCCCTCAGCTAATTTTATCGATCTTTGCCATCAGCAATCACCCGTCCGCGGGATTGATCTGGGGAGCCCAAATCGGCAACAAACCCAGTTAAGCTGAGGCTGCAGTTATATTGACAATCTTAACCGTTTTATTTACTGCCTATTTTTTTTTAACGGCAGGGTATACATTGCGAAATATTACTTTAATTCCCGCTGACGGGTGATTGCTGATGGCAAAAGATGGATAGAACTAGCTGAGAGACAGGCGAAACGAAGAACCCGCATGGTGTGGTGGTGAACGCGTTACTCCTCGGAAAGGACAATAGCGCGTTTGTTCCCCACCGCATACACCTGCGGTCTGGAGTTTGCAAATATCTCAGCATCATTAAAGTTATATTTCGCAATGTATACCCTGCCGTTAGAAAAGAATAGGCAGTAAATAAACGGTTAAGATTATTTGGAATACTCTTGGTGGCAAATTTTTGAATGCTATAGTTTGCTTTCACAACTAGTTCAAGACTTTAGCGATCCAAAACGAGCGCGACACAATTGGGAAACGCAAAAAGCCAGAAGCTGATGTGGACGAGTTGCTTGTGGAACTGTTAATGTCCGAGAAATTATGCCAACAGTTGAGGAGTTCGGTGATCAAAAGCACGGAACAGGTGTGCAAAGATTTCGGATTCACCCAAGAAGGAGAGACATAGCTATGTGTATTGTAGCTACTTTCCTTCAACGAGGGATAAAAAGTCTAAGCTTAAATCTGAAGTGAGCTACGGTATGAGAGTTTCAAGATCGAGACTTCTTAAGCGTTTAGAAGGATGAGTACGATGAGTACCAATCTTTGTTTAGTGCTCAGAAAGGAAAACAAAAGTTTAAGGAGTAGACATTACTTCGAAATTATGCCTGTTTATCGGAAAGCTGTCCTTACTTGCTTTTGTACAAATAAATTTATGAGAAGATAATATTTTAAGCAAAAATTGTAAAAATTTAACATAAGATAAGGAATGATGAATAGCTACAATAAAAAAGATAAAATTCGAAAAGCCTTAATAAAAAAGGATAAAGCTCTCGGTGTTGATCAATCTCCGAGGGATGCGCCATGCATTCGATTTCATCAAGCATCGTTTGTAGGTAATTGAATGCATATCTGGCCTTTACATTGATTCGCCGTGACCTACCGTTGTCGAGCCAGTACTGCTATCCTCCCAGACAAGTCTGGTACCAATCTGCCTACCCCGGAGGGTTGGAAGGCTTGGCACGCCATAGGCTCAGGGATCGATTCCACGTGTGTTGCAGGGCGCCTCCAACCACTGCGCCACACGTGCCCTTATGAATAGCTTTATTAACAACAAAAGCGTAAAGGAGAAAGCATCTGTCGTTGATCAGCTTTTGAGAAATGCGCTGTATATTCGATCTTGCCACCATCGCAGAGGGAAGTGACTGAGTACATATATCTGATCCATGCAATGACTTGGTGTTGCTTAGCCGATCTATCACATTAGCCACAATAATGCTGAGACCTGAGCAAAACTCGAAACCGTAGTGAGCTTCGAACCCTCTGTTACCATTTCCGAGGGCTCACTTGTTATCTACTGTACTACGGAACCCCTTGCTCTGCGTTTTTCTCAGCCGGTTTTTTACGCTAACGGTGCTGTTAGCAATCATTCGTCAACAAGAATATCAATACCTCGGTGGTGCTGTGGACAACGCGTGAGCCTGCGGGAAGGGTAGTTACGAGGTTCGTAATTCAACTGGGGTTCCGACTTTTGTTCATATCTCAGCATGCCTGCGGTTGTACTTCACGTAGTGCCCTACCGTGAAGAAAAAATTACACGCAACATATAAAAGCCAAGCATTGTAATACCACATTAGCGTTTTTATCCGATCAGACAAGTCTAGTATCAATTTTCTTAACACAGAAAGATTGCGAGCTTGGTTTACTCAAGGCGCGGGATCGAACCAACGGCCACCTTAGTATTGCAGAGAACATCTAGCAACTGCTGAACACATGCTGTTTTTAACGATAAAGTGATAAAGATGAATTTCTGTGCGTGATCAATCATGAGCAAAACGCTGCGCATTCGACTTCATTAAGTGTCGCTAAAGGTTACTGAGTGCACATCAGGACCAGACAACAATAACTCATAGTGGTATACTGGTGTATCAAGTTAGTGCCGCTATCCTCATCGACGAGTCTATTACCAGTTCGTGAACCCTAGAGAATGAAACACTTGGTGAGCCTGGCGATGGCGTGTCTATTGCACATCTCTAGCCACTGCGGAACACGTCCTCTCATTAACGATAGTAGCCAACAAAGGTGAAGTCCATTAGTAAAACGGTAGTTATGCAGTATTCCGATTATTAATTTTAAGGTTACAAAGAAAGCGACCAACAGACACTAATGAGCAGCAATAAATCTTGCTCAACTTTGCTGATGAAAATTTGCATAACAGTGAGAGAAAGAACAAAAAGCGAAGACGACACTGGCTAAAATTAGACTATTAGTCCAGTGGTGGGAGGCGCTCTGCAGTACACATAGGATCGATCGCCGCGTCCCAGAGCCACCAACACTCCGTCCTTCCGGACTCGGCAAATTGGTACCCGACTTGTCTGGGAGGATAGCAGCACTGGCTTGATACATTGGCGGGCCACATATGCATTCAATCATCTCCAACAATGCTTAATGAAGTCAAATGCATGGCCTATCCCTCAGGGATTGATCAATGTCGAGAGCTTTATCCTTTTATCCTTAACTGCTTCATATCAGTTCCTGGTATTGAGAGGTGGTGGTGGACTCAGAACTGTACATTCTTCGTTATCATTTCTCAAGAATTATCTGTGAAGGAATTCAAATAGTAGAGGAGTCCATATCCTTGTTAGTTATACCAAGAAGGTGATGGACAGTCGCGGTGTAATCGCTACTTTTTCTAATACTGTTCTCCAGTTAGAATCTGTTACAGGTATCTTATGACTGTGGAAAAGTGAAAGCTTGGCGAATAGAGGACGATCGATGGGCGACTTTGGATGATGTGGGGAAAAGCATTCATCAGCAGTTGGTGTTGTTAGTTGAATGGGCGAAATCTTTGCCACAATTCACTCAGTTAACTGTCGATGATCAGGTGTGTTCGTCTTTTCGAATCGTTATGTTTCCTATAATTGTATCCATGCAATGCTTTAAAACTTCATCGAAGATGGAGATGTTTCTGGAATTGCAAACTAAGATCTACAGCAGAGGTTAGTCCTCCTGCAGTGTTTCATACTCTTAGAAGCCTCGATATTTTCATACGAAAGCTTATCCTAGGGGTAAGCTCATTGAATAGCTGTCTGATTGCTCTTTTACCAAAAATTACATATGGAAAGGAGATCAGAGCAAAAGTGTGATGCTCTTTCGGTGGTGTTTGGGGCGGTTGCCATTGAGTAGCACTAAAGCGCCACGATGACAAATGGTGTTTACTGATACCTATTCGAGTTACTCGCTAACGAATGGGGTTATCGACGATATAGTAGTCCATAGGGTTTCTTCACTTCGTGTTTCTTCACTCCGGAAGATGTAAGTCTGGTTTTTGATCTAATTACAGGTAGCTCTGCTAAAAGCCACAGCTGCACAGATTATCATCCTCGGTGTTGCTTTTCGATCACTGTCACTTGAGAACTCAATATGTCTTGCAAATGATACACTAATTCCTAAGGAGCATGCCGCCAACATTGGTGACATCAAGTAAGTGATCAATTAGTTAATTAATTGTTTCATTATCAAATCATTTTCAACTATGACGAACTACAGCCACAATGATACTGAGATATTTGCAAAACTCCGGACCACAGGTGTCTGCGGTGGGGAGCGAACTAGCTGAGAGACAGGCGAAACGGGCGACCCACATAGGTGGTGAACGCGTTACTCCCCGGAAAAGACAATAGCGAGTTCGTTCCCCAGCTTAGACACTTGTGGTCCAGAGTTTTGCAAATATTTGAGCGACATTGTGGTTGTATTTCGCTTAGTACTCTGCCGTGAAAATTGTGGTAGGCAGAAAATAAAACGTAAAACATCTAAACTTTGAGTGAGGTGAAAAAGGTTATGTGCTATACAAGAAAAAAAGGAGGACAACAAAAAGCGCTTTTTGCAGAAATCTAAATTAGTATTAATTAGAGAAATAAATGGTAAAAAAAGGATAAAGCTCCCTGCGTTGTTCAATCCGTGAGGAATGCGCTATTCATTCGACTTCATTAAGTGTCGTTGGAGGCGATTGAATGCATATCTGACCTTTACAATAAATCGCAATGGCCTACCGATGTATCGAACCGGTGCGGCTATCCTTCCAGACAAGTCTTGTACCAGTTTAGCGGCCCCGGAGGGTTGAAAGGCTTGGTGGGCATGGGCGCGGGGATCGATTCCACGTTTGTGTTGCATGGTGCTCCCCGACCACTGCGCCTCACGCGCCCATAGAGAAGTGAATTGTAAGGTTAAAAAGCGAAATTTTTGTCTATTTCTGCTGTGAGTTTTTTGGTTGCACTGAGAATAACTACTGAGAGCATTCGGTTTATGAAGTAGACTGGATGTAGAGAAATTATGAAGAATTGAAATTTTATCTGTGGTTCCTCAACGACCCATGAACCTCCTACCTATTTGCATGACCTCCCATCACATATTGTACATATTCCATGACTGCTTTCATTCAATTCGTTGCGTGCATCCGTTAGATGCGGGTCGAGTAGATTCTCTGGAGCGGAACTCTGTATTATCCGTTCTTACGCGTTCACACGTCTTCACCACAATCTTTCGTTGGCCTTTATAATTTGTAGATCTTTCCGGAAAAAGTTGGTGCCAGTTTGCGGATTCTGTACAGATTAAAGGCTAGATGGCACGGATAGGATTCGCATCGGTGACGTTGCGTTGATTCAGCAGTAGGTCTAACCAACTGGACTTGCTGATCTTTTCATGATCTTTTGATTTTGAAAATCTCTTCAGATCGGTGGAAGGGTAGATACGAGTTTTGAATTATCCAGAGTGTTGTCTTCAGTGTTCTTGTTTACTTTAATATTAAGTGAAATTTTTCGTTTTGTTGTATAGAGAGTTTTGTTCTTTTTTACTATTTGAGAACCTGATCCGATCTGATCACTCATTGTCAAGTGTATTTAGTTGTGTCGTTGGACGAATTATTGACGAATTGGTGATGCCTATGAGGCGATTGGCGATAGATCTTTGTGAATACGTAGCTCTTAAAGCGATTCTATTCTTCAATCCAGGTGAGAGAACCTCAGTCTAATCTAACCACTGTTATGAATTACTGAGAAATTAGTGTTGTGCTAGATATTCGTGATTGTTCACTTTAAAGTAGTCGTTCCTTATCATTAAGGGGTGAAATAGGACTTCTCCTACAACTAACCAATGTTCCCACTCATTATGTGATTAGACTCATCCCTAAGTCTTAGTTTGTCATTTAGTGGCGAAAGATGTCACCGATTATACGGCAGTGGAGAACGCCCGTATCGCAGTCCTTCGTTCAATTGAAAAGCGGTTAGTTTCGGCATAGTTCAAAACATCAACACATAACGCACGACGTTCAAATTTGCGTGGATATCGCATAAGAACGCTTCTAATTCCACGTCTGTTATGGTCTCCTTGGTTTTTAGAAAATAAACGGTAGTTTCTCGATAATTTGAGCCTTTGAGAGGTAGAAAAGTGATAGAATTACAAGAGAGACTCTACTCTATCCCTGTAAGGGTATGCATGAATGTATACTAGTATGTATACTGAATGTAATATACTGCCCTAGGTCTTCACCACCGCAGGCAGTCGCAGCCCTTGTGGGTCAGAAGGAGATTTGCCACCATGCGACTAGTTTGATACCAGGACAGTGATGGGTCCTGGTATTGGTTTACCATTGGCTGGGCTTTCAGATGGAAACGCTTGACTCCCTTTCAGCTTGGGAGACACTGCCGGCGGGATCAATCTCCCTGCTGTACATCGCAGCCGACACCTAGGAATACCTCCCAGCCACGATGTGGCGGTAAAGCGTTGGAAGGATGCATGAGTGTATATTATTATATATTGCATATTATTATGATCCACCTAACGGCCACGGTGTGTTTTAGAACTTATGGTTTGTTTTTTCGATATTTATCATAGTTGTCCATTTCATGAGACTGTAACAATGATACATCCATAACGATTGAAACTGAGACAACGTTCACTTACTAGTCAAATCATCGGTCAATTGACACGTCTTATAAAGGCTTTTTTGATGCTGGAAAAGCTACCCACTGAATACAAAAAGTGCGGTAAAAAATCTGTGTAAAAAAATAAGCGACTGAAAAAGAAGTGAATAGCGCACAAAGCACTTCGTCCACTTTGTTATCCCAGTGCATAACGTACAATAGGTCTCGCGTGCTATTTGTCAATATCATTACTCAGGCTAATTGTTGCGTTATGAACTTATGGAAAGCTAGAGGTTCTTAAAAGCTTCTTGTCTTCTGCCGTCTCTACAAGCCTTCTCTGTTACTTCACAAAGATATTTGCTTATTTCATGAGCTTAATTTTTCAACGTTTGAGAATATGACAAGCTTTATTCTTAAACTTCCACTCAGGTGTCAGCAATTTTCTGTTGAGATATCAGAATGCAGAGCAGGACGTCTTCTGCTATTGCTACCTTCTCTGCAAGCAGTCGCTCAGCAAATGATGGGTTACCTTTCTTTAATTTTTCTTTTATTTAATACATTGCATAGGTTCTTTCTTGTAAATTTGGCAGGTTCTGCCACAAGTTGACAAAACTCCAAATCGTAAGGAGACAAAGGGGCTTTATGGAACCTCTGGAGTGTCTTAATAGTTCATTTATTTTAGAAAGGGCCTAGACAATTTAATTAAAATCGAGATCAAAGAGATAGAAAACGGCTTTTTCTGCTATTCGTATAACATCGTTTTAGGTTGAAGATGTGCAATTGGCACGACTTTTTGGTTTCGCCAATGTCGACTCTCTAATGGAAGAGCTGATTCTTCACGATGAACGAGCGGATAGAGACGTTCGACAAAGTCTCGCAAGTCCGTGTCAAATAACGGAAGCAATGACTTAAGCCTAATCATTGCCTAATGTTCGGGTTTAGTTCATTATATCATGAAGCACCGCTTTTTGGTATTGCCATCGACTACTGGTGGAATACTTGTCCGAAGAGTACAATTATTTCGCCAATAAGAACTCGTTTCTTTTGACTGTTTAGAGCACTATTTCCTTTACGGGACTTACTCACTGGACATTTCATTGTATGTAAAAATTTAGCAGTGCTTCTCCACGAGTAGTCACTTTCTGGTTTCAAGTGACTATTTGTCTCGGCCGTATCGCTGACAGTACAAATTTGGAAACGATTCCACACTAGCCAAATGTGACCAGTATTGTTTAGAATAAATTATTCATCTTGGTCTACCGTATTACCGTTAACCACCTTTTCGATGCTGCCCACAGTTCGTATGAGGTGACAGTTAGTAGCCATTACTTATTATTACAAGTAAATCACTAGCTTATATGACACCTATCGAGACGCCTATCAACATCACTTCGGTGCTCAGTCAGTTAAAGCCTTTCTTCGATGCGTTTTCTTTTGTGTCATTTCGTGGAGTCCCTCCTGTTGAAGACATTTGATCACCTTCTGGTGACTTAATCGATGAGCAGCTCCTATTTAGGAGAAGGTCGAAGCAAATGTCTTTATAGGTAGAATCGTTGACATGAATGAAGTAGATACACAAGCAGGAGCTCAGTAGCTGAAAACTCTACGGAAAAAACTAGTCTGTCTGGCGAAGAAAGCCTTGTTAAATGTACTGTTTTTGGAATACCGTTCTAGTTCTTTTCGTTTCTTTTTTTTTGGTGCTTGCAAAGCTTAGGAGCAAATCCAAATGAAAGCGGTCGAAGCATCCCTCAAATCGGTTTTTATTTCGTGGTCTGTATCTTTTCATCTGATCATGGTTATACAGCCAATCTCTTAGCACTATTTGTCAATGAATTGAATCATAGAGAATATCAGTATGAGGTCAAAGACCCGTTTGAGCTTTCAACCCAGTGGCTCAAAGATGCGTAAGGCAAAACATCACCAACTGTTACAGAATGGATAACTTAGGTTAAATAAAAGTCAGTGTACAAAAGTAATACATTATAGTTATTGGTCTACTGCAATTTCTAGGACTTCCTTTTGAAGGGAATGGAGTAGTATTAACGGTTGGAACGGCTGAGTAAAAGTCGCTTTATAAAAATATTACTTCACTGTGTTCTAGCTGGCCTAAAATCCATCGTTAGAGAACGGAATGCCTGACAAAGAAGGATAAAAGATAAAAGGATAAAGCTCTCAGCGTCGACCAATCCCTGAGGAATGCTCCATGCATCCATGCATTCGACTTCATTAAGCATCGCTTGGAGGCGATTGAATGCATATCTAGCCTTTACGATGACTCGTGGAGGCCTACCGATGTATCGAGCCAATGATGCTATCCTCCCATATAAGTCTGGTACCAATTTGCAGACCCAGGAAGGATGAAAGGCTTGGTGGGCCATGAGCGCAAGGATCGATTGTATGTATGTGTTATAGGGCCCCTCCGACCACTGCGCTACAAGCGCCATTTTGACGAGAAACAAATAACTATTAAAAGGCAATCGTCGGAAAATCGTCCTATTTAAAACACCACCATGGAACGAAGTTATTCCTTCGAGCTGTGTTTCACACAGTTGGATTCGATTCCATGCCGCAGTGGAGACCTAGTTCACTAGTATGAACCACTATAGACAATCCATTCGAATCATTCAGGGTCCGAAGAAGGTGATAATGTGAAGATGTTAGCCAAATGGCAGTATTATCAACCTCTTGTTTAAAGGTGTGAAAAAAACACGTCAATAATTTAGTCGTACCGAAGTAAGATCAATGTCGGTCTAGAAAGATAAGTTACAGCTATTCAACAACCAAAATTTCAAGTTTTTACCAAGGTAGTCAAATAAAAGTTACAATACTGACTACTTCGTAATGGATCGCCCAGAGAAAAAGAAATTTTTATCAGTGGACGAGCTGTTAAGAGTTGTCCTTTATGAAAGTGGACAGCCAAGTGAGATTATTCCAATCGTGTGGTGTTCTTCATCCGTCCTACCCATCGATACGTCGTGGTGGACCGTCGACTCGGATCATCGTCTCTTATGAAGACGAAACCGTCGAAAGGTTAGACGAAAATGCATAATATTTATCAACCTCGAGGAAGCTTATCGAAGAAATAATACGTATTGATTAGTCACACCGAGGTTAAAGGAAAATCGGCTTTGAAATATTAATCGAACAACTACGATATAACGAAACCAATACCCGAAGGTAATATGAAGAGGATACGAGCACATTCAAAGTGTAGGAGACTTCCAGAATCGATAAATGTAGTGATGTGGTAGACGAGTTCCATGCATGTTAAATATTGTACAGCTAAAAGAGATATGACCTAAGTGGAAACGTAACAGGATGGTAGAAGAGGTGTATCTACAAATCAGTGACGAACCTTCTATAAACGCAGATGACTCATCTCGATGGAATTTTCGAAACTACAATTCAAAAGAGCGTTTTTCTATGAACGTCGGCATAAATAGTTGAAATATTTGTTTAAACGAAGTTATAAACTGATTTTGTTGAGCCGATGCGAGGTTGGTACAGGTCTTCGCCATCGTTGTTGTTGTCGTTACTAGTGGTGTTTATGGTCGATGGATGACGTTTCGGCGATTTCGCCTTCCTCAGAGCCTAGACGTATTTTATGTAACAGTAGTCGCACATTCTCTGAAATTTTTATAGTATCAATGAAGATCAAGCTTTCACATAAACGGCATATTGATTAAGAAGCCTACTCACCGCGCTGTTACGAGTGGGACTGTCCCACGCATTGTTCACGCGGGGTCGTAAGCGAGACCCACCCATGGGTCAAAATATTATTTTGAAATAAGCCGCCAGGTCCCGTGTGATAGTGAGGCATTCGTCTTTCCAGTTCATCTCGTGCTTTATATGAACCTAGAGGAGTGCTTTGACGAATTTTAACTTTCCCAGCTAGATGTTCTTTTATCTGGACATAAGATGACCTCAAAAGGACCAATTTATAAGATTATATAAATAAATATTTCGAAACTACATTTCGATGAAGATCATAAGCGACGCAAAAACTGGAACAATGAAAAAGAGAAAACTACAAGGATACCATAGAGATCCATTGTCATTCACGTGATGTGGGTGGCGCATTCTCATCCTAGGCAGATATGGACGTCATCATTGAACAATATTCGACGAAACATAAGAAGTGTGTGATGTCAATGGAGGACAGGGAATATTCTCTACGAGGTGGATTACAGCCTTTGTATCCGGGCACATGCAAGCTAATATTCAAATAAGTACTGCGGTCTTTTCTTCTTATTTCCTTTCACTCTTCATCATCTACAGTCATCTCGATTCTATGGAGTTTTTCCTCATAGCAAAATTCTTTGTTTCTCGTGTACTGCTCAATTTTACTTATAAAATAACAAATATTATAACATCAAACCATGTCAACAAAATTTCAACTTCGATCTATCGACTTCTCGAGCAATGTATGACCGACATTACAGGTTGTACAGGATTAGGGCGCTAATTGAGCTTATCAACAGGAGCTGCCGCGGAATGCACAAGCCTGGAAAGCGCGTATTTGTTGTAGAATTCTTCTTGCTATTTAAAGGCAAAGGCACTATTTCTTAACGTATTCTGATAACAGTGTTTCTGGAGAGAGAGTTTTTGGGGTTTCTCTAGAAACACTCGAGACGATACGCCAGCGTGGAATTGCATGAGCTGCAGGCAACCTCCAACTAACGTAACAACTAACAACTAACAACGCCACCCATTGAACTCCGTCTATGACACTGGAGAAGAACTGTTTCTTGGTACATGCGACAGGAGAGGAGTCGGCGGTGTCGGCGTTTTCATCAACACGAGTTTGTCCGTGAACAACGATTCATTCGAACAGCTTACAACCCGAATCGAATGTTTACGATTAAATCGATGTGGATCAATACCGGTTTTGCAATCTTCGTCGTTTACGCCCCGACATCAAACTATGACGAAGAAGTCGAAGCGTTCGATATGGATCTATATGGACTTGCAGAAGTTCTACAGAGAAGACCACAATTTTTTCAAGGTCATCATTGGAGATTTCAACGCCAAGATTGGACCAAGGAGAACGTCACATTGGGACCCATTGATTAGGATGGAACGAGCAGAGTGAGCGGCTATCTGAGTTTATCATGACGACCAAGACCATCCATGGTAACTCGCAATTCCAGAAGTGCGCTGACTCCTTCAGCGCTGGACGTGGGAGTCTCCCAATGGAGAGTACCATAACGAAGTAGACCACATCACAGTAAATAGGTCTTGCCTAACCGATGTCGCTGTTGTCCCAAAATTCTACACGGGATCAAACCATCGTCTCCTTCGTTCAAGATTCTATTTCTTACGGAAAAGAGAAAAACCCGCTAAATTCAACAACTGAAGTTCCTGAACCATCATAAACTGGTACTTATTCAATTCATTAGTCGGCTTTATTTATATGATCTTATAAACCGATCTTCTTAAGCCGACGCGAGGTTGGCACAGATCTTACAACGAGGACCTGTACCAACCTCGCGTCAGCTTATATCAAGTGTCTATGCCGAGGTTTATAGAAAGTCGGTTTTTCGAGTTATCATTAGTCGGCTGTTGGGAAGAAGCCGTTGTCGATAACACCAGCGAAGAATACGATCGTCTTATTTAACATTTTCACGTTAGCGCTTTGAAAACTGAGAATTCGAAAGCCACCAAGAGACGTCTGTCTCCAGAAACACTCGACCTGATACTCCAGCGTGGAATCGCATGAGCTACAGGCAACCGCGAACTAACGTTGGAACTTGCAAAACAATGCAGACAGGCGATAAAAGGAGATCTTAAAAAGAGAAAAGCAGCAGTAATGGTCGAAGCTGCAGCAGCTGGGAAAAGCATTCTCAAAGCCCACGGAAGCTTCGCCAATTACAAAACCGAGATAGTTGCACTCCGGCGCCCAGACGGAACAGTTACAGCGTCCAGAAAGACAGTGGAGAAAATCATTCACAAATACTATTTGGATCTCTTCAATATCCACGTCCACCTTTCGTCATGTGATATAGAGGAGGATGGATATGTTGTACCACCGGTTCTCCCTTTCGAAATCCGACATGCCATTTCGTCGGAGTACCAGGTCCGGATAGGATAAGATCAGAACACCTGAGGAACCTTCTCCCAGTCATCGTAAACATACTGGGTCGGCTCTTCACACGTTACCTGTCTGAATTTAGGGTCTCTACTCAGTGGAAGACCAGCAAGACCGTGTTCTTGTTTAAGAATAGTGATCTACACGATATCGGCAACCATCGCCCAATCTGCTTGCTGTCCATCGTTTACAAACTTTTCACTCGAGTCATCCTAAACAGGATTAGAAAACACTGGACGAAGGGCAGCCAAACGAGTAGGCAGGGTTTCGAAAAGTACTTAGTACGGTGGGCCGCATTCACACAACAACAAGACTCATCGAAGCATCGCGAATTTAAAAAAGACTGCTCTATCTCACTTTTAGTGATTTAAAGAAGGCCTTTGACTCAACCAAGATAGAACGAGTCATGGAAGCTCTTGTTAGTCAAGTAGTCCCTTTCAGTGAGAAGATCCTTCGTGAGTTGTAGAAAAGTTCCACGCCCAAGACATTATCGTCCTACAACAACATTAGCTGCAACGTCAAAAGAGGGATTAGACAGGGCTATACCACCTCGCTAAAATTATTCACCGCCACCCCGCGAGAGCATCATGCAGACATTGGAGTGAAATTACATTACGTAGGAGTGAAAAATGATGGCCGGCAATTACACCATCTTCGCTTTGCTGATTACATCGTTCTTATAACACCAAACATTAGCCAATCAGAACAAGTGCTTGCCGATTTTGATAAAGTCTGTGGAAAGATTGGACTTCGAGCGTTATTGGACGTGTAGTGGAAAGGACGATGCTAAGAGTATCCCGTGTCACACAATTAAGGGATGGGATCCGAAGCTTCGACTTGCTTCAACGATCAAAAATCAAAGATGCCGCTCTATACGCCAACAGTCGAAGGTAGGGTGGGCCGGACACGGTAGGCGCATGCACTACAACCGATAGACAGGAGCAGTTAGTGACTGGGTTCCTCGGGGATATCAAACGCACTGCAGAAAGACCAACGACACGCTGGTCATAGTTCTTCACGGAAAGCCTAGAAAAAAGATACGATGCTTGACGAGTCCCTAGAGCGAGCAGTACTCACGGGCTACTCTTGCACGCAACAGGGAAAAATGGAAGATTTACAAGCGCTCGCTTGATTCAATCGACGATCAACAGGACTACGAGTTATAGAGGTGATTCTAATAAAAAGTACAAATTCTGATTTAAGTTTAAATTGTGCTCGACAGGCAACTACACGTAGAGAATTTTGGTGCGAACTGGTACTATTCCCTCCACGTCGGAGATAATTAGCATTTATCCTATCCCATTGCTGTGAATTAGCCGCAATAAGACACTATTTTTATCGACAGCTGCAAGAGAAACAATCAAGAACTTTTTCAGGAAATCATCTATGACAAGCTGAGAATTGGGCAACGGTTGGGTTAACAAAGCTGTAACTGTACGTTGGTGCTAAAATTTTAAAAATAAAGATGGCGTTATTATGACGCCCATTGTTTAGTACCCAACCCGTTTTTTCAACTCACCAAGGTTAATAGAAAGTCGATCCTAAAAACTAAGATTGTTGTGGCCACCAAAACTAGTAGGTTTTATGTACTTATTTGGATACTTGGATAGCACGTCATCACTGATTATGCGGACTCCAGCATAGCTTCAATTTTTTTCGAAGATTTGATAATTTAGCCACTGTGGTTCCTTGGAGTCTCGAGGTCATCCTAATTAAAGTCTGGCCGAGGTCCTCACTACCACGAGCAGTCACTGCTCTTGTCAGATCAGAATGAGATTTGCCACCATGCGACTAGTTTGCTGCCAGGACGGTGATGGATCCTGGCACTGGCTTACTCTTAGCTCGGTTTCCTCATCTCATGAAAACTTCTCTGTTTGGCTGGCCCTTCCGTGGAGATGAATGTCCCGCTGTACATGGCAGCCCGACAGCCAGGAGCACCTCTCAGCTACAATGAGGCAGTAAACCGATGGGAGGAAGTTTATGTCCGCCGAAACGTCAGTTTTTCCATAAGTAAGGAATAAAGTAACACTGGTGTTTTCTCAATAAGAGCACAGAAAACAAGTAACGCTTACAAACCATGAGCATCCATGTTAAAATAACTCTGCGTGATGCAATAAGACATTGAGTGGTAGGGTCGATTTAATGTGTTGATCAATAGGGAGATACTGTAGCACAGTGATTGAAAGTGCCTTGAAATACAAACTTGGTCTATTTGTTTATGTGATCTTATAAACTGATCTTCTTAAGCTGACGCGAGGTTGGTACAGATCTTCGTTGTCGTTGTCGTTGTCGTTGTTTTTGATGTTATTGAACGATGGCTGACGTTTCGGCGACTTCGCCTTCCTCAGAGCCTGGACGTACTTTATGTTAGAATACTTTTTATTATTCGGTGGAAAGGAAGGTTAAAGTATTAATGAAGATCAAACTTTCAAATAGACGCCATATTGAACAGAAAGGCCACTCACCGTGATGTTACGTGCGGGACTGGCCCACACATAGTTCACGCGAGCAAGACACGCTCCGGGGTCAAAATATTATTTTGAAATAGGGCGCCAGGTCACGAGTGATAGTGAGGCATTCGTCCTTCCGGTTCATCCTCGGATTTTTGAAATTTATCCAAAACGCCTCAAAAGTTTTGCGCGTTGATGTTTTTGATTCCTGCGCTAGGATCCGCACATTCACTTCAAAATCATAGCCGTTGTGCTTTTGTGGCTGGCACAATGGCACAAAGCACAAGCACAATCTTAAGCGCAAAATAATATTTTAAACGAAAGTAGGATCCCCTTTAAGCTGCCCTTGATATCAAATGAAGTAAGTCACGCCATTAAAAAGTGCTTAAGAAAAAGTGGTCTTGAAAATTATGTAACGATTATTGACATTCCACCCAATAGCCTACGCCGCCAGTTAGTTCGAAACCGTCTCTATGATCGTTTGTGCAGCTCAGAAAACTGTATGATCTGTCCTAACGGGAGAGACGGGGATTGCATGAGTTTAGGTATAATATACTTGATCTCATGTAAAGCATGCGGCGAGGAATATATCGGGGAAACGGGTGGACCACTTTGTGTCCGCATAAAAGAACATCTAGATGGGAATGCTAAAGTCCGTTTAAACACCCCTCTAGGTACGCATAGGACACAAAAGCACAACGGCGATGATTTTGAAGTGAATGTGCGGATCCTAGCGCAGGAATCAAAAACATCAACGCGCAAAACTCTTGAGGCGTTTTGGATAAATTTCAAAAATCCAAAGATGAACCGGAGGGACGAATGCCTCACTATTACGCGTGACCTGGCGCCCTATTTCAAAATGATATTTTGACCCCGGAGCGTGTCTTGCTCGCGTGAACTATGTGTGGGCCAGTCCCGCACGTAACATCACGGTGAGTGGCCTTTCTGTTCAATATGGCGTCTATTTGAAAGTTTGATCTTCATTAGTACTTTAACCTTCTTTTCCACCGAATAATAAAAAGTATTCTAACATAAAGTACGTCCAGGCTCTCAGGAAGGCGAAGTCGCCGAAACGTCAGCCATCGTAATAACATCAAAAACAACGACAACGAGAACGACAACGAAGATCTGTACCAATCTCGCGTCAGCTTAAGAAGATCAGTTTATAAGGTCACATAAATAAATATATCAACTATCTATGCCGAGGTTCATAGAAAGTCGGTCTTTCGAGTTACAAACTTGGTCATTGGTTCGACAGGGTAATCAGGGTGAACCAGGCCAGTCATTTGTTACTGGTCAGGAGGTCAGGTGTCAGACCTTTTATCTTGAGAGGGATAAAAGCGTAAATTTATACATCCATAACATCCCGTCGTCATTGTAGTGTTCAAGAGTGCATAACCAGTAACTGATGCTCAATAGAGTCGAAGGTGTATTAATGGCCCACTTGTCGGCGGATAGTCAATATCAAATGGCTTCATTCTTTGAGTATAAAACAGTCTTCAAAATGGTCAAAAGCAGACGGCGTGACGAGCGTG